AATAATGGAGATGGGCTAATTCTAGATGTAAGAGCTAGTTAGCAATACACCTAAGTAATTGGTCAAGCAGTGATTTAATTAATACAGTTTCTGTGTGGTTATTTTGGGAGTCTGGGCAGCTGGGAAACACACTAACAGCCTCTTACAACAAATGTGTGTGGTATATGTGTGTGCATGTGTGTGATATATGTGTGTGGCATATGTGTGTGGTATATGTATGTGGTATATGTATGTGCATGTGTGGGGCATATGTGTGTGGGAGGAGTCAAAGATTGATGCTGGATGCCCCCCTTATTGGCTCTGCACCTTAACTTTTGAGACAAGGTTTCTCACTGAACCTAGCGCTCACTGACTGAGCTCCAAGGATACCCTTGTCTTCAGGCTGTGACATGTCCACCATATGTGCTCCCCTCCCTGGGGACATTTTATTGACTGACCCTTCTCCATAGTGTAACTTCATACATGTCTGTACATTCAGTAACTAACTTTTTGGGCAGTGGTGGAGCACACCTTTTATCCCAGCACTCAGGAGGCAGAGACAGAATCTCTGTGAGTTCAAGGCCAGGCTGGCCTACAAATCGAGTTCCAGAACAGCCAGAGTTGTTACACAGAGAAACCCTGTCTCAAAAAAAAAAAAACCAAACAAAACAAAAGTTTCATACAAGAATTAAAGGTAGACGCTGAAAAATCTCATTCCTGTGTCCCTGAGGCTGCCTGGGAAGAATCTGTCTGCAAAGACACAAGGAACATATGAGCTGAGTGGGTGTTAATGAAATTTCTCCTTCCCTCGACGGGCTATAATTAACCCTTAAAGATTAAAACTGTTTCCTAATTGCTGTGTAGATCTCCAGTTGTGCACAAATAATGTTTGTGGGCCTTCTGCACCAACTCTGCAAATGTTTTCTCCCCAAGACCTCAGTACTACATGTTTTCAAACTTAAAAGAAGGTCGACTGTCATCTCAGTGGATACAAAATTAGTAATTTATCCAAACACCTAAGTGTGTATACTTAAGCATTAAGAATATATGCTATGTAAATGCAAACTGTATAAGGGACATATGGTTGCTGGACTTTCCATGCAGAAAATGTTGGGTCTCAAAGGGACCTTGCAGATATCCCTAACCTAGTTCTTCCCCGGAAGAGAAGGACAAACACGAAATCTCCCTGAGGTTCTGAGCCAGCCCTCCTGCTCTGCCTCGGTGCCTTTACTCCTCCTCCGCTGCATGCAGTCTGCCTAGCGATACAGACACTCCATTCCGCTCGGCCAACAAGGACGAGCTTTTCTTTGAGACCAAGCAGTGTTCATTTGCATTTCCCTTCTAGCTTCAAGGTAGAGGCCTCACACTGCTAGCACTGCCACTGAGCCCACCCTTCCTCCTGAGAACTAGAGTTGATTTTCTTTTGGGCTTTGGACACAAGCTCTTCCTTACTTCCTAGGGACATGATCCTGGTCAAGATAAACACACTGTTACTTGTTAACTGTGAATAAAATGCAATTTTGAACCCTTAGTGTTAACAGCAGGATTACATCTACAGCATACAGGGTGACCCGTGCAAACCCAACAGTGAAGCTGATGTTATTACGAGACTGCAGACCGCCGTAGTGAATACTGTGAAAGCTCTAGAACTCAGTCTCTGCCTTGCAGGTTCAGTCTTCTGCACAACACACCTCAGGGCATTTGCAGGCCCTTGAGGTTAGATGGAGGCAAGGATGTCACTTCAGTTAGGAATGATCTAACAGGACCAAAGACGTCCCTTCCCAGGGCTCATGCTTCTTCTGAAGCTCAGTTCCAAGAGAGAAGTGTGTGGAACACCTTAGAGAGCCAGAGCAGATGCTGAGGGGCTCTCCTGCTGCAACCAAAGCCCCTGTGACTAGGTGCACCCCTCAGGGGAGGGCCACAGCCTCCTTCTGGCTTCTAGAGGATTCTGTACTTAGCAATGTTAGGCAAGAGCCCCACTGGCCTTGTTGCCTCATTTGCAGCCCAGGGCCAAATTCCCTGCCCTCATCTTCCGAGCACCAGGCAGCAGCATGAGCTAGCCCATGTGCTCTCGACTCTGGCTGTGCAGTGGACACCATACTGCATGACAGTGCTGGCTGAGCATCACGGTCTCTCCAGCCACTCCAGCCTGGCTCTGGCTCTGCCACCTCCCCTGGACTCCTGTAGCTGCTTCATGACCTACGCTCCACAGTGAAGGTCCCCCCTCCTGCACTGGCTGCAACCTCTGGCCCATTGGGTATCTGTGGAGTTACACGCAGTGAAGTAGTCACGGCAGACCACTGTCTTCAACCCTATGTTGGCCTTGGTAGCCATGGCAGTATTGTACTATGAGGGCATTTGGAAAGATGTATGGGCACGTTGGCTCCTATGAGATTTCTAAACCTGGTCAAAGTCAGTGGCATAAGGGCACCATGATGTCCTCATGCCATGTCTGAGCCCATTCATATAGAGATTACACAGGTATGCTGTCCCCCCCCACTCCATGCCATTACAACACCTAGCCATGAAGGACTGGATGGGCATGTTGGGGCTAATACCATTTTCGAGCTCCGTCATATGTAGGGTATGTGAGCATGTTGACCCCATGCTATTTCTAAGCCTTATCAAATAACAGGTATGTGGGCATGTTAGCACCCATGTCATTTCCAAACCCTAGCCCTATGGGTTATATGGAACATGTTGGTCAACATGCCATTTTCAAGCTCAGTCATATGGGAGTGTGTGTGGGCATATTGTGCCCAAAACGATTTCTGAGCCAGGCCACCCGAGGGGTATATGGACATTTGAACTCTATGCTTTTTCCTAGACCTTATATGTGTGTGTATGAGCATATAGCATCATTCCGTTTCAATCATGGTAAAATGCTGGGGTGTATGGGCATGGTGGAACCAATGCAATTTCTGACCCATACTATAATGGGGTTTCTGCGCATGTGGGCCTCCATCCCATGTCTGAGTCTGGCCATATGGGAGAAGGTTTTGGGATGTAGGCGCCTGGTTATTTTTGAGTGGGACTATATGGGCATCTGCCATTGTGATCCCTGTCATAAAGGAGAGTTCCAGGCATTTTGGCCCCACACCATTTTCTATCCTAATCATATTGGAGGTACATGTTGGCTCCCATGCCATTTCCAAACCTGGTTATATGTGGGGCTTTAAAAGCTTGTTGACCCCATGACATTTCTGAGACTGGATATATGGAGGGGTAACTGGGCATGTTGGCCTCCGTGTAATTTCTGAACCTGGCCATACATGTATGGTTATGTTGGCCCCATGCCGTTTCCAGCCTGTTTATATGGGGAGGGAGTATGAGCATGTTGGCCCCCACGCCATCCCCAGGCCCAGTCACCCAACAAGGTATATGGGCATGTTGGTTCCCACGCCATCTCAGAGCCCAGCCTTATGGGTGTGGGCGTTTACATATTGGCTCCCTCAGTATTGCCCATCCTGGTTATATGATGGTCTTTTGTGCATGCTGGACCACAAGCCATTTAATACACATCCCTGTCACGCAGAGATATGTGCGGACATGTGGGCACCCATACCATTTCCAAGTGGCATAATATGGGCACTGATATTTCTGAAGTGAAGAGGCATGTGCTGGCCATCTGTTGCTGGCTCCGAGATACAGCAAACATGCAAACAAGTATTCCCAGGCCACCAAGTGGCAGTGCTGATACACAGCAAGTGTGTACCTGGTGTGTGCAGGGAGCTACGTGGCTGCCCTTGAGACCTAGATGTGTGACAAAGAGTGCCTAGGCCACTAGATGGCAGTACTGGGACACGGCAGACATGTGAGAAGTCATGCCCAGACTGCCACGTGGCAGAGCAGCATTGGCACATGGTGAATGTGTGAATGGGTGTCCCCAGACCTGTAGGTGGGGCACTGGGACAAGACAAATGTGCAAACGTGTCTTGGGATACCACAGGCATGTGAACAGGTGTGCCCAGGTATCATGTGTTCCATGATAGTGCTGGAACACGGAATGCATTGCTAACAGATGTGCCCAGGCTGTGGATTGGAGGCCCTGGTGCACAATGGGTGTGCCAGCAGTGTGCCCAGGCTATCACTTGTCAGTAATGGGACACAGACAGGTATGCAAACAGGCATGTCAAAGCTCACACACTGAAGTCCCAGGACATGGTATCGTGTGAGCAGGTGAAGGTGGGGAGGTTCCACAGAGTGTCCCCAGTCCAGCTCGTAAGCAACAGGACAGTCTCTTTCTCAGAACACTCACCTTGAGAAGCAGTTTCTGTGTTGTAGGGAGGCCCTGGGTGCAGTAGGAGACCACACAGTTGTGGTTAAGGTCTCAGTCAACAGCCTCCATGAGATGCCAGACACGGGGAAGTGCTTAGATGGCCCTAAGCTGGGCTTCCCAGCCACTTACTAATGCCAGGAGCCACAGTCCTGCTCCACTGAAGCCTGGTTGAAGTTCAAAGTCCTGGTTAAAATAAATTCTATTTTATGGCACTAAATTTTGCAGTACTTTGTTACATGATTGTATCAGCTACATGTTCACTGGAGTGACCGATATGTTGGGGGATATTATTTTCAGGTGTGTGACTTTGGTTTACGCTGCATTTGTTTAACTCTGTAAGCTGTGTTACTGTGCCTGTCTAACACACCCGATGGTCTGATAAAGAGCTGAATGGCTGGGCAGGAGCAAGGATAGGTGGGGCTGGCAGGCAGAGAGGATAAATAGAAGGAGACCCGAGAAGGAAGAGCAGGAGAACAAGGAGAGAGGACATCAGGGTACAGTCACCCCACTATCCAGGAGGTCATGGAGAAAGAGGTAAAGAAAGGTATACAGAAATAGAGAAAGGGAAAAGCCCAGAGACAAAGCTAGTTAAGATAATATAAGTTAGGAAAAACTGACAAGAAACAGGCCAAGCTAAGGCCAGACATTCATAACTAAGAAGAAGTCTCCGTGTGTGGTTTATTTGAGAGCTGGGTGGTGGGCCCCTCAAAAAGGCAAAAGAGCAAACATCACACAACACAGATACCTGGCAGAAGCATCTTGAGGGAAGAAGCTTTTATTTAGTGCAGTTTTAGGGGACACAGTCCATTCTGGGTGAGAGGCTATGGTGACAGGAGGGGGCTGGTCACACTGTGTACCCAGTCAGCAAGCAGAGTGGGGCAAATGCTGTTGCTCAAATCACTTTGAGAAGGCAAGGAAGACCCAGTAGCTGACTGGGTTCATGATACACCTGCTGGCTGAGACTCCCAACAAATCCTGTGAACTCCTCTGCAAGGTCCCAGGATGGAGGGTCTGGGGTCCCACCGCCCCTCTGTCCATGCCTCTGACCTCCTGGGTAAGCTCACTTGAGGCTGGCACTGTTTCTATCTGTGGGTTCTAGTCTTCACTGCAGGCATTTATGGATATGAATACATCATTTAGAATTTAAATTTCATTGCACTAGAAACACCCAAGCAATAGTTTCAAATATGACATCCCTCGCTCTCACATGAGTCAAGCCAGGGTTCAGTCCTGCTTGTCACGATGACTCTGTGATGACCAGAGGATCATCATCTCAGTCATGGTCTCTACTCCAGGGTGCAATATGGCTGCTGGGGCTCTTGCCACCATGCCAGCATTGCAGAAGGTTGAAAGAAAGAACTAGGCGAAGAGGAGCACACTCCATTCCCGAAGTCACATCCCATAAGCTGTTGTATAGCCTATTGGATGCTCTCAAACCATCTAGCCGTCTCTAGCTGGAAGGCACAGAAAATCATGCTTAGAATCAGAGGTCTGAGAAGGAAGATTCGGCAGTCCTGGGAGACAGCTAGCTGTCCTCGTCATAACACATAACCGGAGTGGAAGGTTCCAGATGTGATGCCTGGCGATTGGACCCCGCGTTCCCCTTCTTGGCCCTGCCTCCAGCTTCGGCTCTTGATGTCCCCCTTGCAGCAGCGTGGGGAGCAGGTGCACATGTCCGCTGGCATTTTGAGCAGGGACAGGATCATTTTGATGATCAGGGCCTGCCAGGCCATCCCAAAGAGGATCCATAGGGAGACGATGTTCTTGTACCACAGAGGGTACTTCCGAGAGGGGTCCATCCCTGGGGAAAAGGCAAGGCCAGAAGAGGTGGGGGCTGGACAGAAACTGGGAGGCGTAAGTGAGTACAGGAAACTCAGAGACTTGACATTCCCAGCCTGTGGCTGCCGGTCTGGGATTCCAGGAAGCCGCTGGGGAGAGCTGGCACCTTTTCCCTGGAGATGAATCTTTTCTAGAATTCCTCAAAGTGCTGCCCCCAGGCTAGCTCCATTGCTGTTCCCAGGCTACCTCCATTGCTGTTCCCAGGCTAGCTCCACTGCTGCCGCCTGAGAGCCTATTGTAAAGTCAGGTGACTGATCCCATCTGGCCTGGAATCGAAATCTCTGGAATGCCTCATAGGCTACAATTTTGCAAGCCTCCAGGAGAGACATTGCTGGTTTCTGTATTCAGCTTTTATTTTGTGTTTATTAAAAAAATATTTTTAAAATGTATTTTAATGTGTACGGATGTTTTGCCTACATGTACGTCTATGTACTGTCTGCATGCAATGTGCCTGGAGAGGTCAGAAGAGGATGCCTGATCCCCTGGAACTGGAGTTCCAGGTGGTTGTGAGACACATGTGGGTGGTGGGAACTGAACCCGTGTCCTCTGCAAGAGCAGCCAATGCTCTTCATGTGGTCCTATTTGGCCTTGAAATTCCCATCTTCATTGCCTCTGCCTCCTGAATGCTGGGATTATGGGTATTTGCTACCAACCCAGTTACATGACACTGAACCTCAGGCATGTTAGTTAGGTGGGCGCTCGTCCCTCTGTGCCACAGCCCCATCCCATCTGCTTCATTGATGCCTGGACTGAAATGTGGCCAGTCGTGGGAGCCAGGGTGTTTGGGAAGGAGCATGGAACTGCTGGAGATGTGCCCTGCCTCAGTCCCTAGCATCCATGGTTGACATCTGAGTACCCCAGACCTGTTTAAAGACAGACTGATACCTCTGTGGTACCAAATGAGATCAGTGGAAATTTCACTTCTGGGTACAGAAGTTGGGAGGCCCTTTACGCCCTTCATTTAATTTTTGGCACAAGAGTTGGTAACTGGCAAAGTGCTCCACTGAGCGCTTTGATGATGAGAATCATGAGAGGAGCTTGTGGCTGGGGTTTGGGTGACTCTGGTTACTGACTTCAGGCATGGAAAATGACCAGGTGTGTGTGTGTGTGTGTGTGTGTGTGTGTGTGTGTGTGTGAATGTACGTGCATGCATGTGCACACGTGTGCGTTAGCACACATGTGCACAGGTGTGTGTTTATGAATCAGCATTCCCACACAAGAAAGCAGTCAGTCCATCCTTCAAGGATAGGGAGAGCTAATATTTGGCAAGAGGTATGGGAAATTTTATAACAAGTGCGGTTGGCCTTAGGCACCTCCCTGCCCTTCTCCACGTACTTAAGCCAGAGGCCTGCAGACGAAGGAGCCAGGGACTCTCTGTGTGCAAAGACGTGGAGGTAATGAGCAGCTTCGAGGACTAGAGCACGCAGCAGTTCTGCTCTCCCAGCAGCCCTTCTGGCATCCGGGACTTCGGACTGTGCTCAGGGCAGGGAGCTATAGAGTGAGAGGCGGAGCAGGCTCTCCTGCCAGTTCACAGAGCAGCTTCCTGGGAGACCATGGTGGCAACACCACTCTTACAGTCAGGCAGGCTGTGTTGAGTGTCTGCCCTTCCTGGAGGCTGGCTGATGCCTCCACCCCCTTGCCAGCGTGCCCATGTCTAGAGAATGCTGCCTAGTTGGAGAACTGGCTTGTTTTTGAGATAGGATCTTCTGAGGTAGGGTGAACCAGACACCGGTGTTCACTTGTGTAATTTGAGTTCCATCCTAAGACTATGGGAGAACCCTAAGGTTCAAAGGTATAGTGTATGATCTAAAATGCCAAGGGGACAAGACTAGAGTATACATGAGCCGCTGAGTGCTGAGCCTCATTACACTGTGTAAACTTCAGGGCTGTGCCATGCCCAACCTGTGCGGCTTTGTGTAATAGTCCAGGCCTAACGGGAAACAGCAGTGGGAGAAGAGGAAACAGCTTCCAGGAATAAATGTCTCCTGAGCCGAGAGGCAAGCCTGGTCTTCCATGCTGCTGCTCAGACACATGTCCCCACTATGGGGACAAAGGCAAGCATCTGACCCATTCGGAAGTACCTGTCCACATCACTTCTTCCTGAGCCACAGACTGGGGGAGACCAGCCTGGGATAGCAGCCTCTGCCCTCATATGAGACCTTCCCCTCAGTGGAGAAGAGACCTAAGGCAGAGGCTCAGAAAGCAATTATGGGGCTCCCAGCAAGCTCCAAGCTGCATTCTTTACTTCACTGTTGAGGGTACTGAGGTCCAGAGAGAGAGTTCTGGAATAGCTTGAATCATGTAAACAAACAGATTAGAAGTTGTATCTCGCTGAGCTGTCTCAGGCAAATGGCTTGGTCTCTCTGAATTTCAGCTATTGTTTTGATAAAATGGCGGGGGACACTTGGGGCTGCAGGCTGAGCATATGGTTTATCATCTGGTCAGAGGGCTGTCTCAACAGTCCACTGATGGAGTATGGGGAGGGTCATGTTGTATAGGACTGTTCTCTGAGCCAGGCTGCCGCCATTTTTCATCAGATCAGCAGGACCCAGAAGCAGAAATGGTCACAGCTGGACTGCTGACCTTGTGGACGGCCAACCTTCCCTCTCAGAAGGGGGTGGGGGTGGCCATGGGCCCCTCACCCAAGTATCCAGCCATTCCTCCCAGTCAGTTGTTTGCAGTTCTGCCCTAACTGCACGAGGTCCAGGGTCTTGAGGAGGGCGAGAGTATATAAGTTGGGAAAGATTAGGGGAGGGGCTCCATCTGTGTAGGCATGGAGAAGGCATCCTTCACACTGGGGACCGACTGGGGCAGAGACTTTTGGGTCACTTGTACTCCTGCCTGTGAGCCCTCACCCATGCTCAAGAAATTCAAGGATTCCCTGAGGGGAACTTTGGTGGAAGCAAATTTTGGATTGTCGTTGGAACCTCAGAAAGAGTGGGGAAAGGCGTTTAGTGTCTCAGCTCCCACCCCAGGAAAGAGTTGTCACAACAGGCTCCCTCCTCACCCCAGAGCAGCCCTACTGGAGGTTATGGTGCCCCCAAGGCTGCCCTAGGTAGTGAAGGAACCTGTGGCCTTTACTCTTGGATCTTTTCAGTGGCAGCAGGAGAGAGAGAGGGAGAGGGACAGAGAGAGAGAGAGAGAGAGAGAGAGAGACAGAGAGACAGAGAGAGAGAGAGAGAGAGAGAGAGCGCCAGAGCGAGAGCCAGACACAGACAGAGAGACGCTGAGCCCCTGGAGCCCCTGCTCCTCCACTGCCACCCCCTCGGCTTTCCTCCATGGGCTTCTGCAGTGTAGTTGTCTCTGGGGTAACTGCGTGGTCTCAGGGGACAGCACTAACGGTTCCCATTCGGGGCCTTCTTGGCAGGCTTGGAGTTTGGTTGTCATTTCCTCCTGAGGTCAAGGGTGCTCTGAGTTCCCTGATTGTTTCACCTGGGTCCTCGCCCAGGGTGGGTGGAGAAGTGAGGGAGGTCCAAGTGTTGTGGGTCCCTCTAGGGCACTGATTTGAGCCTGTAGCTTTGTAAAACAGCTCCACACTGCCAGGCAGGAACCAAGAGATCATAACCCGCCACACTGGGAAAGCACGGAGCCTACTTAGGTTACAAGCCAGCCTTGGGCCACTCACCGATCACGTAGTCACCGAAGCCCACCGTGCTGAGCGTGATGAAGGCAAAGTAGAAACTCTCCGCGTAGCTCCAGCCTTCCATGTGGGAGAAGAGAAGCGGAGGCAGCAGCAGAAAGAGCAGGAGGCCGGAGAGCAGCGCCGCGGAGCCTGCCAGCCACGGTGCCCGTGCTGGGTCCTGCAGTATACAGCAACAGTCTGTGGCTCTGTCCTGAGCAGCAAGCAGGAGATGCCCAAAACTCCAGCCTTGAGCCCCCACACTTCCTTCCGAAAGGCTTCCTGTCTTTGACTCCTCCCAATCTCCTCATGCCCACCACAGACACTAATAATCAAACACCCTGTTCTGGGCTTTGCTCCCACAACCTCACCACCTACCTCATCTCTCTGACCCCACCCTTCTGGTTTGGCACCCCACTTCCACCACAGTCCCCCATCTGGAACAGACTCATCCAGGTTCCTGGCCACTGTCTCACCTGCCAGCTGCCTCCCAGCCATTGGACACATCGGTGCACCCCTTGCTGCATAAGGTGGCCCAGCCGGTTCAGCACTACCAGGTTGAGTGGGATCCCCACGAGAGCAAAGACTATACAGAAGAGACGGGCAGCCATGGTCTCTGGGCTCAGGTTGCCGTAGCCTGATGCAGGAGGGAGGGGTATTTAAGGAAATCCTCCCCCCAGTTTTGGGCATGGCCACTGTGGCTGTGGCCCCCTTGTTTCACTCCCATGCTGGGGGCGGCAACTGGTGCCTACCCAGCTCTGATGAGGAGACAGAGCCGGGCTGGCACATCAGTCCACAGTTGGCCTGTGGCCTCCCATTTTTTCTGACTCCATTGCTTGGACTCTGACCCCTGCAATGCTCTGAGAACCTGGGCAAAGGCCTTGATCTTTCTGAGCCTACTGTCATGACCTTAAAACGGGGTGCAGGCATTCACTTGCATTTGGCTAATAGAGAGGCCACAGTAGGGAGTACTGTAGGTGGGAAGGTGATGCCCTGAGCATCTGAGTGCCCCCGCCCCAGCCCAGAGATGGGCGGATGAGCATGATGGAAGGTTGCCATGCGGGCGTCTGTCCTGAAAACTTCAGAGGTCTCTTTCTCTGGGTCTTCCATCTTCTTTCCACAAAATGTTTTATTTTGTTTGTGTTAAAAAAGGTTTTGTGTTGGCAGGGCTGGCCTCAACCTTTTTATGTAACCCTGAACTCCTAATCCTGCTGCCTCCACCTCTCAAGTGCTGATATCACAGAATGATGGTCTGAGTAAGGGCAGTGTTGGGGAGGTGGGGTGGAAGAAGGTGGGATGGGGTGGGAGGTGAGGGGTGCTGGGAAAACAAGGCAAGAATCAAAGGGATAAAGAAAGATGGAGCCTAAGTCTTCAGTGGTGTGAGCCTGCCCCCTAGTGGTTAGTCCTAGGTCATGCATGTGATGCTGTGGACAAGGGCAGCTGACCTGCATTGTTCCCTGGGATCCAGGGCTGCAGGGATCCAGGGCTTTCTGGCCCCTGCTGTTTCCACTCAACTGCCTCAGGTGCTTTCAAGACAGGCAGGTTTCACCTCAGTCTGGCTCTGAAGGGGAAATGTGTCTGGAGGACAGTGATAGTGACTGAGGGCCTGGGAGGGTCTGTAGGACTGGGTTGGATGACCAACGTCCTCCAGGGCAGCAGTTCCCAAACTGGAATATGCATACAGTTCCCCTGGTGTCTGATGAAATGCAGAAACCAAGTCCATGGGTCCTGAGGCATGAGATGCTGTTTGCAGGAGGGTGGGGGTGTGCTTGCAGATATGACTGCTTTCTTTATAGGGGTGACACCCTCGGGAATGCCATCGCTGGGCCCTCAGGGTGAGGCTACCTCCCAAGCCACACCATCTTGTCCCCATGCTGCCCTTACCGATGGTAGTGATGGTGGACACGGAAAAGAAGAAAGAGCCCACAAACCCCCAGCGCCCCATGCTGGTGGTACTGCCCAGGAGCTGGGTCCCATCTTTGTATGCTTGAATGATGTCCTGGAAGAGATGCTGCAGTGACCAATAGGATCTTGAGAAGGGGGACTGAGCCCCTGTACCCCAAGACACCACTAAACCCATGTCTATATCCACACTTACACCCACAATCTTGTAGAGGCTCGTGGTGTATAGACAGTTTCTCCAAAGTGATGCACTTCCTCTGGTGACTTACAGGTTCAGAAGGGTACAGCAGTTACAAGCTCCTCCCCCAAGTTAAATTTCACAGAAGAAAAAAAAAACTGCTGAGGAGAGGGGACTCTTCCGTAGAGCTGCCCACAAGTTGTGTAGTGAGCTCGAGGGATGTGAGGTGTCACCCTACCGGGTGGACATTTCAGTAATGCAACTGTCTTTGAGTCACCCACATTCCTGTAGTAACCCCGGTAAATCCAGCTAGAAATGGGTGAGATTCTTTCTTTGGTCAATCATTAGTACCCCATCTGACTTGAGGAGACTTTTTCATATGTCCCCAGGAAAACACACACAATATCTCTTTATTTCAAGTCTGTTTGGGGCCAAGGATCACTGATTCTACTAGCCAAGGGCTCCCCAGGGGCAGAGAGTGTGGGGCCAACCCTTTCTCCTCCTTATCCTACAGCCAGCTCAGGTTCTAGGCCATCTCACAGGCTTATATACTCACAGGCTTATATACTCACAGGCTTGCTGTCTACCTCAGTCCTAATCTTGCAGGAAATAAGAGGCAGATGTTGCCAAATGACAGACGTGACCTCAGCCTTCAGTGGGACAGGAGAACTGAGTTGACTCTGAGATGGGGCCATAGTGGCTGTTTTGGGTATGAAGAGGGGTTGTGTATATGGTTTTGGGTATGAAGGAAGGGAGGTTGTGTAGGTGGTTTGGGGTATGAAGGAAGGGGGACTGTGTAGATGGTTTGAGGTATGAAGGGGGCTGTGTAGATGGTTTGGGGTATGAAGGGGAGCTGTGTAGATGGTCTGCAGTTTCTTTCACATCTCAGTTTCCTTATCTGGAAAATGGAACTCTAACAGTGGAGAGTCCTCTGGCTTCCTAGGGCCATGACACTGCGGGAACACAGAGTCACAGAGGCAGAATGCTTCCTGGAGGGAACGACACTCCTCCCGTGTTCCCCTTGAGGGTCTTCCCACTGAGAAGGCAGTCAGGATGACAGGACAGTGGAAGCAGAGGCTGGGAACGCATACTGTGCCTTGGACATAAAATCATGGGGTTCTGAGAAACAGCCACATAAATAGGGCTACACAAAAGCAGCCTCCAGGTGATTAACAGCCTTAGCTCTTGGCTGTGCAGCCTTGCATTTTTATCAAACCTCTCTAAGCCTTGGTTCATCTCGTAGTGGAGATGGTAGTGTCTGCTAATGAGGCATTGACAGGGGAGCTGGGCAGGGGAAGGACCGCAACAGCAGTTTACTGGTGATAGCCAGACAGAGACAGTCCCTAGCTCCAGCTCCTGCGCATTGACCTGTCCGGAGGAATGGGAATTCTCTCCCGTCCTACCCTCACAATGCTCTCCCTCTACAGGGGATTTGGCTTCAGCTTAAGGATTCTGGGACACAGGTCCTGGGGGGTCTCTGTAATGGAACCATTGCAAGAGAGTGGCGATTGCACGGAGGTATGTGAGTCTAAGTTCTGTCCCTGCACTCTTGGCAGAGGGAAGTGGAGCAAAACAGTAAGGCAAACACTGATTTGCTCCGCCCCATCGCCCATGGAGCCAGGAAGAGATCTCCACGGGAAATCCTGCCAGCATGAGCCATCTCCTGCCTCCATTCCCTGCGGCATCCTCTCCTCTGAGGATCCTCTGGCTCAGGGACCTCTGTGCTTCCCACTGCCCCACCCCTTTCGTCCCTGCCTGCCCTGCAGGTCCAAATACTTTAGGTAAAGTGACCTTAGCCCTAATCCAGTCCAAGCCCCTCACTCTCAGCTCCCTCGCTCCTCCATTCCGGGCCCCTCACTCTCTGCTCCCTCCCTCCCCCGCTTCCTTTTGAAAGACTAGGTGTGGCCTTTCATCCTTGGCGTCTTGTCTCAGTAACCCACACACAAGGCAGACCAGACCAAATGATACCTGTCCCGGTGATGATCCCATCGAACAACCTTGTATCCTGTGACACCGAGAAGCGATCCTCTGTATTCCTTATGGTTGTGTTCTGGACAAGTCTCACATCCTTAAAGATGGAGTCCGTGCCCCCACCCACCCCCCACCCCGCTCCTCGCTAGCCCTAGACGCTTTCCACTGGTTTCAGCCCATCTCCATGGTTACCCAACCCCAACCGCACAAACCTGTTTTTCCCAAGCCTGTTTACTCCACCTCTCGAATAAGGAATAACCATCCCCAGCGTTACACTGTCCCGGCCAGAGGACTCTTAATCCCTGCTGTGAGCTCCCGCCCCCTGACCCACCCACTCCTTCTTTCCCAGGGTGGCACCGCTAGTCCCCTAACCCGGATCAGCTGATTCAGCGCTGGGCCATCCAGACATGTGAAGTTCTTTAGTTGCTCCCACTTGTGGCGCTGGAAGATGTGGCTGGAGTACCGGGCCGCACGACCTTCCAGTGCCCAGAACACACCGGCGCCCAGCACCAAGTAAGCCAGGTAGGAGAGCAGAAGGAGCCCAGTGCCTGGTGCCCGACAGACCCGGGCCGAACACGGTGCTTCAGAAGATCGTGGACCGCACATGGTGGAGAGGAGCCCAGGAGCTCTCTGATAGACAGGAACCGGGAATAGGCAGGAAAGGCCAGGAGGGGCCCTTCTCTAAGCAAATGATTGCTGGTGGCCTGCTTTCCCTCTGAGCAGTGCTGCAGGGTGCTATGGCCCTGCCCACCTTCAAGGATCCAATCCTGGTGACTATAAGATAACTCACCGGAGAGGAGAGTTGGAGTGCCCACATCAGCATCAGGGGACCACGGAGGGGTCCCACCTCAGTGCTTCCCTTCAGTGGGAAAGGCTCCTGCAATCCACAGCGTGGAAGAGAAACTTCCAAAGTCTATTGTCACAGGGCTAAGCTGCGAGTCTAAGCTGAGACCAGGGACTTTCTCCAAGTGCCTGCTGCTGTCAATACCACTCCAGGTTCGCTACAATAGGTGCACCCAAAGAAAAAGGGCTCAGCTGGGCATGGCTTGTCTGAGTTTGTGGGAGGCAAGAGCATGTGGCCCGGGCTCACACTTGCTGCTCCAGAAGAGGTCTTGGGGTCCCAATTTACCCAGAGTAGAGGCAGGGACCAGCATGTGCAGAGCAGATAGAGGGCTTCGGGTTTCTGTCCTATCCTAAGAGGCAGTAGTCCTGCCGAGAGGGAGGGTAGAGAATGCAACCAGGGACACGGGTCCTTCCCAGGGACTCCTCTCAACCTCCTGGACTCCCACTCCAATGCTGCAAATACACGGATGCTTAGAACCCCCCTTGTGACTCGGGAGAGGGGAAATTCAAGAAAAAGCTAGCTCCCAACCCTTTTTAAATTGAGCATTGGGCAGACAGGGCCAGCCTCCCCTCCCACAGTGCTGAAATCTGGCAGCAGGCTAGGCCCTAGGGATAAACCACATCCTTGTACCAGTGATGGCTTTTGGAAGTGATCGCAAGAGCAAAGTCAAGGGAGGCCCCTCCCCGCCCCCTCCCCACACCTGCTCCTCGCTCGCCTTGTGGTGGTGACTACTGAGCCCTCAAAGGAAAAACTGCTTTCGAAGTCCCAGTTGCTGGGGTTGGTGGAGTTGCCTTTGAGGTTCACACCTGTCACTGAGGTTACTGAGGGCCAGCTGTCACCAAGCAGCTCTCAGGTGGATGATTTTATATGCTTAAGTTGAATAAGTCTCTTAATTCACATCATTCCTATTTCAGAGAAGGAAACGTGAAGTCTCTGAGTGGCCAAGACACTTGTCAAGTGGCCAGTTGGCCGAGCTGTGTGCTCTTATGAGTGGAGAGCTGAGGCCTGGTGACAGAAAATGACACTCATGCACACATTAGCCAGGGCAAGGCGAGGCTGATGTTGAATACTTCTAGAATGGTCTACTGGGGAAGATAGGGTCTGGGACTTGGCTCCTATGTAGCATGTGATGGGAGCCTGGGCATCTAGGGAGCTGGCCGTTCTGCTCTCTGGTGCCCTCTAGTGAGCATAGCCTATGCCTGCAGAAGAAGTTACACCAGGGGCCCAGGAGAGAGGCTATCTGTGCACACTTGATGCTGTCTGTGTGTGCTGTGCAGTGTTCTGTGTTACATGGGTGTATATGACCTGTGTGTCTGTGTTTTGTGTTTCTAGGGCAGAAGGCTTGGCAGGTTCAAGCCTGAGCCCTTCCGAGGACTGGGCAGGGCTCTCCCTCCCCAACCCTCTTCTGTCTAGCTGGAAACTTGTCCCAGGGCAGCTTCAGTTTATTCTTGTTACTCGGCGGTGCTCCAGAGCTGAGGACCACGGGAAGTATGGCTGCTACTCCTGCCTCTCTTTCCTGTGGGAGCTGATTTTCACCTGCTGGGTGGAGGCCTCCTGGACCTCACTTGGGCAGGAATTAGCTTCTTAATATTTTGGTTTCCTCTTTCCCACGCATGCAGAGAATTGGGCCAGACATTCCAGAGCATGTACCCTTCCTGAAGACCCCCACTCTCAGGGACAGCATTTGCCAGTGGACAAGGGGCTCTGACCTCCCTAAGGGCTCTGGGTGTGGGTGAGTGGCCTCAAGTGACTGCGGCATCTTCATCTCCAAGAATCCAGTGGGGAAGGAGGAAGAGGTGGGTGTACAACTGTCCTCACGGAATCATGTCCGGACACTACACTCTTCACCGTTTATATATAGTTCAGTGTGTGAGTTCCCCAGAGACTGGGTTTCTCCCAGATGTTACCTGCCTCCAAGCTCCACTTGCTCATTCAGAGACTGAGGATTTGAAAGAACACGTTTTCTAGTAAGTCCCTGGTCCTAAACACTGGCCTCTTTGGGCTGCAGTCAGACCTTGTTCTTGATTGCAGAACCAGTTTGAGCCTGGCCACGGTCTGGAGTAGGAGAAGGCTTGAGGTGTCTCTGTCTCTGGCTCACTCCTGGGATGCTGGGGTGCCTGAAGGTGAGTACCACCCCTAAGTAAAATGTATGCACAGGGTGAGGAATGCTATGTATATGGGAAAAGCAGGGACAGGACTCTCTACTGACACCTCTTCCAGTGGTTCAACAGCTCTCAGTCCCAAGAGTCTCTGGGCCTCAGCATCACCTGAGTCAGCAGGTGTGAGTGGGGTCTGAAACTTCATTCTCTAATAAGCTCTCAGGTGCTGCTGCTGCTGCTGCTGCTGCTGCTGCTGCTGTTGCTGCTGCTGCTGCTGCTGGAGGTGGTGGAGGTGCTGCTGGTGCTGGTGGAGGTGGAAGTGGTGCTGGAGGTGGTGGGATGCTGGGGCTCTAACCTATGGCTTTGTGTGTGCTAACCAAGCGCTCTGCCAACAGAGCCACATCTGTTGGCACTTAGCACAATGCCAGCACTTATGTGCTCTGCTTGTGTGAGTCACCTGACCTTGCGTGCTGGGAACTAAGCTTGAGTCTTCTTGTAGAGAAGAGTGCTCTTGACTGATGAGCCATCTCCTTGGATATTTTTATTTATATTTTGAGATAAGTAAATTTTATTATCAAAAACAAAAATATTAAAAAAAAATAGAAACCCTTAAATCTCTACAGGCCTATTTACTTGCTTGTCTCCTCAGTGGTAGGTTTGCTCTTGAGGATATATCCTACTACTATTATTTTAGTATATTTATTTATTTTCATTCATTTTAAAAGTTGTCTTATGAAGTAATGGGGTTCATCATGAAAGTTTTGTCTGCAGATTTTTTATCCGTCATAATACTCTCTCCCTCACTGCCCTTCCCAACTGCCCCAGTTTCGCTTCTGTCGCTGTGATGAAATCCCTGGCAGAAAGGAACCCACGTGGAGGGCAAAGGAATTTATTTGTTTACAATCCAGGTTACAGACATCCCTGGGGGAAGTTAAGACAGGAACTCGGGCACCTAGTCACACCTACAGGTAAGAGCAAAAAGAATAAACACATGGGGTTTTGCTTGCTTGATCCACTCACACTGTTCAGGACACCCTGCCTGAGAAGTGATGTCACCCACATTAGGATGGGTCTCCCTGAACTAATTAGCAATCAAGACAACCCCCAGGGACATGCCCACTGGCCCAGCTGATCTAAAGCTCCCCATTAAGACTCCCCGAGAGATTCGAGGCTGTGCTGTGTTGATAGAGAGCTGTCGTGCCCACTCCTGCGTGTCACTGTCCTCCCTGACACAGGGCCACCCTTTGCTCCCAGCCTTCCGTCATCTTCCTCAGCGTCCCTCCTAAGAGTCTGTCCTTCTGCAAGACCTCTCTCTCTCTCTCTCTCTCTCTCTCTCTCTCTCTCTCTCTCATACACACACACACACACACACACACACACACACACACACCTAGATTATGCTTATAGAGAAAACCTGTAGTGTTTGACTTCTGAACCTGGCTTATTTCCATTAACATTTCCATTGGTTCTGTGTCTTAGTTGTGAGCAACATGGTGGACATACTTCTCTAGCTCCTTTTCCTGCTCCTCCCACACGGAAAGCGGACACTGTCGTGTGGATTGATTGATTTTCTCAATGCTATGAAAATACCTAGCAGAAGCAACTTAAGGAAGGAAGAGTTTGTTCGGGCTGATAGTGTGAGGTGCCGTCTGTCACGGCAAGGGACAGCATGGTAGCAGAGTGTGAGGTGATTGGTCTCATGGGATCCGCAGTCAGGAAGCAGAGAGGTGAACGCTCGTGCCGAGCTCATCTGCTCCCCGCTTTACTCCATCCGGGACTCCGTGGGGTGGTGCTGCCCACACTGAGTAGGAGTCCCACCTCCAAAAATGTGGTCTAGAAACCCCTCACAGACATGCGCAGAGGTTTGTCTTCCAGATGACTTAGAACCATCCCACATGGTGTGTGGTAGACCCCAGAGGTTCGGAACCAGAACCACCACCAAGTACTGCTTCACTGAGGAACTTTCTCATTCACCAGCTGTTGGCCCTTCACCCAAGTCGCATCCCTGAGCCTATGGGAACCTGATTTCAGTCTCTAATGGACTCCCCTATCTGGACATTTCATGCAACAGAGATGGGACCATGAGGGTTAGTCTTGGCTGTCAACCTGACTACAACTGGAATTAAATAAAACTCAAAATGGGATATATTTGTGAAGGATTTTTGCTTAATTTAAGTGGGAAGATCCTTTTTAATCTGTATCTTTGAATTGGGAAGACACATCTCAGATCTTTTACACTGTCAATATATATGTATATAGTTATAGATTATATAGTTATATGTATATTTATCATATATAAGACTGTACACATGATGTGTATTTATATATATAATATATACATATATGTATATGTATATTCCTACCAAGGGGGCGCAGGCATCACAGGCATGCTCGTTACTTGGAAGCAGCTGTGGTGTGAGGTGCTGTGGCTAGGCCGTCAGGATGAACAGCCACCGTTGCTTCTGTGTTAAGGAGAGGTGATCCATTGGTGCGTATCCGTGGTGGGAAACCTTACAGAAAACTGAAGCCAGAAGGGAATTATTAAGGTTTTTGAGTAATGAGAAAGTACATGACAGAGTAACAGGAGCGTTTTCCTGTGCTGCAGGGTCCAATGCAGAGCATGAGACATCGCTGGAGTGAGTTGAGACAGGGGCATGGCTACC